AGCAAAATAAAAGATAGCTAATAGAAAAACAGAAAGACAAATCTTTTCCAAATGGGAAAGGGATGTGGAGATGGAGAGGGGATGTAAAAAGGATTAAGATACATACATGTACCAACTAGAGGGGCCGGAGAGATGGTTCAGTAGAATAAGCGCTTCCCTGGCAAGCACAAAGGCCTGAGTTTAATCCCGGGCTCCACCAAAAAGCAAGCCCAAAACATATACCAACTAGCCATGTGAAATATCATTATGCACTTCAAACATGTATTGTAGGGAGCTGCGTGTAGCCGCGCCCTAGGATGGCGCCGGTTTCCGCCTTCCACCCTCTCAGGGGGTGAGTGCTCTTGGAGTAAACAACTCCATATATGGCCAAGGCTTGGGCTAATGCATTGCTTCCGCATACCTGGACCAATGGACAGTACATACGTGGCACCCCATGATTGGAAGCCCTAAGACTTATAAGCTAAGAGCAGGGGCCTCGGGAGAGAGAAGAGAAATGTAACAGGGCAATAAAAGGCTGCGCAGACACAACCAGTGGTTGCGTCTTCCTTGCTGGCAAGGCTGCGCGCGACAATGTATGAGGAAACCAGGTGTGGTGGCACGCACCTATATTCCCAGCATTTGGGAGGCTGAGGCAGGAGGATTGTTGTGAATTTTAATCTAGTCTGGGCTACATAAGAGTTTGAGGCTAGCCTGCACTGCATAACAAGACCCTGTCTGCAATAAATAAATAAAAATCCATTCCTATTCTCAGACATAAGAGATACTACATTGTATGAGACAGTAATAAAAGAATGAAAATTCGGGGGGGAGCTTTCAGTAATGTTATGCTTTGTATCTGTCCCCTCAAAGCCTCATGCAGTCATTGAGGTGCAGTTCTACAGTTGGTGATTAACTCATGATCCACTGGGATTATGGGTGTGAATAGTACTCCTAGCCTGGGGCGAACAGCCTAAATGCAGTTTAAGGGAGACAGACTTCCTCTCTGCAGCCATTGTTGCTGTTGCTCCTACCTTGGCTCTCTTGTTCTTAGCCGCTGCCATGAAAGGTTGCTCTCTGCCATGTGCCGCTCTGCCTTGGAGCCAGCTGAGTATGGACTACAACCTCCAGTAACTGTGATCGAAATGAACCTCTGCTTCCTTCACTTTGGGTGTCTGGTATTTGTCCCAGCAATGACCGAAGAGTAACTGAGACAAGAAAATAATAATTTAGGGGCCGGGGAGATGGCTCAGTAGAATAAGCTTCCCTGGCAAGCACAAGGGTCTGAGTTCAATCCCCAGCTCCGCCAAAAAAAGAAAAGAAAAGAGAAAAAAAAGAATATTTTAAAAAGCAGTTTAAAATCCATTTAAGTAATTAGGACATAAATTTGACAAAACTGCCTAGTCCAGAGATGAAAATGATGAAAAATAGAAGAGAAAAAGTAAAGTCAGTCCACCTGGCCCCACAAACAACAAAGAGAATCCCAGAAAGGTCACATAACAAAATGAAGGGGAGGGGCTGGGGAGATAGCTTGGTGGTCTAAGTGCCTGCCTGGCAAGCGCAAGGACCCAGGTTTGATTCCTGGAACCCTGGGTGTGCCCTGCTGGCCAGAGAAACCAGGTGTGGCACATGCCTGTTTTCCCAGCACTGGGGAGGCTGAGACAGGAGGATTACTGAGTCCAAGCTGCTGAGCCCTTGTACCAAATAAATAAAGGATTTTTAAAAAGAAAGAAAATGAAAGGGAAGGAAGGGGCTGGGGATAGAGCTCAGTGGCACAGTGCCTGCCTGGCAAGTGTGAGGTGTGAGTTCACTTCCCAGTACCACAAAAAGAGGGAGGAGGGCAGAAGGAGAGTTTTGGTACTTTTTTTTGGCTTCTGGTGGGGGAGAACATTCAGTATAGATAGAACACCCTGACAGCTTCTGAAGAGACGCAACAGGTAGCATACAACAAATGGAAATCCATAAAACCTCAAGCTTAGTGACACCAGAAACGAGACAGTAGAGTGTTCTTTCTTTTTGAGGCAGGGTCTCACTATGTAATACAGGCTGGCCTTGAATTCATGGCAATCCTCCTACATCAGTCTCCCAAGTGCTGGAATTAGAGACGTGCTACAAGGGACACTGAGGGCAAGTAACAGCCAATCTGAAATTCTCAATCCTGGCAGACATCAACTGGATATAAAGCTATAAACCAAGGATATGTAGAAACTCCCAAGTCTCAAAACATTACTTTCCCTGTCTCACACCAATTATAATTGCTAAAATGAAAACTCCCGACCACACCTTGTCCTGATGAGGATTCCAAACAACAGGTGATCTCTTACATTGCTAGTAGAAATGTGAATTGGTACAACTCCTTTAGTTTAAGAAGTTAAGCATACACTAATATAGAGCCTAACAGTTCTACTCATAGATATATACCCAAGAGAGATGCAAAGGCATCCAAGCAAAACCTGCATGTAGTCTTTATTCATAGTCCCCAAATGATGGAGATAATCCCAAGTATCCCTCAGCCAGTAAGTGGAGGAGTTCTGTGTACAAGAACCTAAGAGAACCTTGCCTGCATTGTGCTGAGTAGCAGATACAGAAGTATGGGGCAAGTGCAGTATGGCTCCATTCTGCAGAAGGCAGCCTTGCAGGGACAGAAATCAGGCCAGGACTGGAGGTGTGGGAGAAGATTACTCGAGGGACACAAGGGAAGGAACCTCTGCGGTGATGAAAATGTTCCATATCTTATGTTGTGGTGGGGGTTACTTTATCTGTCCAAACTTGCTGAACTGTGCAGCTAGAAGGAGAATTTTACTGTGTGTAACTTTGGTAAACTAAACAGTAAGCTGGGAAAAAGGACAACATGGGATTTATGAAATAAATTTTTTTGGGGTGGGGGCTGGCTCCAAATGCCTTCAGGGCAGGTTTGGCTGGCTTGAGTCCTGGGGATCGAACCACAGCAACCTGAGCCTGACAGCTTTGTTTAAGGAGCCACTTAAATAACTGAGCTAAAGGGCAGGCCCCCTATGAAACAAATTTTAATGTTAACAAAGAAAAATCTCCAAAGTGTGGGTTAATTTTATTCTAAGAAATAGCCATACATACAGCTGAAAATGCAACTATTCTATATTGAAATAAGAAAACAGAAGTCAAAGGTTTCCCCCCAAGAAAGATTCAGTTTGATACCATAATTTGTAGATGAATTGATAAGTATACAGAAAATGGCAAACTTAAAAAAAAATTACTGGTTGTGATGATTTTTAAGAAGTTATACAAGGAAAGAATTTCATCATGGTTCTTTGCTGACTCTACTGTAAATATTTATAAATTTTATATTAACTAAAAGCCCTAAAGTATTTTAAACAAGATTATAAAATACTAAGAGCATGAGAGACTGTGCATATATGGGCTAGAGTGTGTGACTAAAAGATTACCAGATGAGACTGCTAGAAGATTGAAAATGACTGCTTTGGGTAACAGGAATTAGGTTGAGTTTAGCCAGGCAAGGTGACACATGCCTGTAATCCCAGTACTTGGGATGTTGAAGAACTAGGTCACTCAGTGAGATGCTATCTCAGGATAAGAAACAAAAAGGCCTGGGGATGTCACTCAATGTGATGGTCCTGGGTCCAATCTCCAGCCTGCAGAAAAAAAGGAAGAAAGGAAAGGGTATAATGCATGGATATGGACTGGAGACTCATTTTGTCATAAACATTATAAACTTCGTTTTTCTTTTTGTCTTTTTAAAAAGATCACTTATCTGTTTTGTACAGGGTCTTGCTATGCAGCTCAGACTTGTAGTGATCCTCCTGTCTCAGCCTCCCCAGAGCTGGGATTACAGGTGTGCGCCACCATGCCCTGTTTCGGTGGCTAACATGTCACTAGGGGTTCTGGAGCTGGCATGGCATGTGGTACCTGGGATCAAACTCAGATCCTTGCACTTAGCAGGCGTGCACTTAGACTGCCTGAGCTATCTCCTTTATGTCTTTTTGAGACAGGGTCTCACTATGCATTTCAGACTGGCCTTGACCTCAGTGTGATCCTCCTGCCTCAGTCTCCTGAGTGCTAGGATTACAGGCAAGTGCTACCATATTGTGGCCTTAATATTGTTTCTTTTGGACTTTGTATTTTCTTTTCTAAAAAATATCTTTATTTTCTTAGTTATAACATTAACATATGATATACAGTATAAAGGTTGTTAGTTGAAATGTACAAAGCAAAAGTAAAGCCATCAATAATATTACTACTGGATTTATTTGAAGTATTTCCTCCTTTTTTTCCCCTCCCCACTTCTTCCTTCCTGATCCCCACGCCTTTTCTTTCCTCCTCTTCTTATACGTTTTTGGCCTTTTGCCCCATTTTTTGTGGGAGGTCCTTTGTCCAGATCTGCTGTGCTTTATGGTAGCAGAGAAATCTTACTTCTTTACAGAGAACCATACTGGGAATTGTAAGGATCAGTGTGACCAAGACCACCAGCCTTTTATAAAGGCAACATGGCCTGAAATTTATTGTGAGTGGGTGCAGGCCGACAGAAAGGGAGAAGGCCATCTGTACGGAGCACAGAGAAGTGGAATATTTTATAGGGCTTGACAAAAGGCTAGAGACATTAACATTGGCCAGAAGGATCTTAGTAAACCTTGGTAGTCAGAGTTCTGGATGTTTCGTACCTCAGTGAGCAGAGTCCTTGAGGCATCCGTTGTGAATGCTTGGGTGTCTTTCAATGTTCCAATGCTTGCAAGAGTCCATGCTCCATCTTTCTGGGTTTGCGGAGGACACCGGTGGTGAGCAGAGAACAGTGCCTCTGCTGGCAGACAGGCTGGGTAGTGGGAGAGTCAGGTCCAGTCATGCTTACAGGGATCATAGACAGCAAACAACTTCTGAGAAACAGGATGGTTTATGAAACAGATTTTCTCCCTCGAATCTCCACATATCATCCCCAGAGTAGGAAAAGTTATAAAACAATTTATAAGTTATTATGAGATAAATCTCTTATAAAGAGTAGCATCTACTTCAGTTCAGAATTTTTTCTGTTGCAGTGTTCCCAGAATCCCATGGGCCTTCGCCATGACGGAAGTGTGTGGTGTGATCCTGTGCTACATTTGGCTCCTGGTTCTTCTTCTTCACAAGCACAGGTACCTCAGTTACAAGATTAAAAAACTCCAAGTATCATGACTCTTGTCAGGTCCCCTAGTTGTGACCCCTGCCCTTGGATTTCTCTGTTATAGTAATTTTCTTGTGTGGTCAGTGTGATATAAATATTAGCAAAGGAAAAGGTTTGGCGTTAGAGCAACAACAACAACAACAAAAAAATCAACCTAAAACGTGACCTACCTATTTAGTAATATTCTGAGATACCAGAGTAGAGGATGATTAACCATGGGGCAAGCCTTGTCAGTCTGGACTTGTTTGTTATTTTTTTTTTTAAGAAACAAACTGGAAGTATCATTTTCTACAGGATAGAAACTCCTCCAAGAATAGTGTTTGATCAGATGTTTGGATAGAAGTTGGGAGGGTAATTTGATACTGTGCCCGTCTAGTTAGTGTGCTTTACTTCAGATGGTGTAGGAAGTTGCTAAATAGGGAAAGTGCTTCTTTGCACCGAGAAATATGAAAGGGTAGAATTTTTTCAATTAAAGAAGGGCCACAGAGGAGAAGCGTCTTTATGGGAAAACTACTTGATTGAAATTAAAAAATGAGGTGAGGCCTTGAGAGAAAAAAATTTAAAGAACTACAGAATTTGTGGTTATTGCCATCTATTGCTTTTTTAACTCTGGAGAGGAATAAGGGCTTTTACTGTAATTTTTAGTCCCGTCTCTGTACCAGGAAGTGCTGAGGTAACCACATGATGGGTTTTGTGTCTTACGCTGAAGCTATTTTAGTGCTTCCCATGTGAAAAGAAAAGGTTGATGATGACTATTCTTGTCATACTGTGAGACCATTTTGTCTTATTTTATAGCAATATTTTAAATTCTGGATTGCTTAAAATCAGATGTGGTTTGAAAACATGTCTTACTGCTCCCTTCCAGTTAGCTTTGTTGCACAAGACCCCGTGGATTATTAAAACCTTCATTTTAGCAAAACATAGTAGGGACCAGTTAAATACAAGTGGTAATGTATACTTAGTCAAAGAAACTGTTTCTCAAAGTGTGGCCTTTGCATCCCTTTTCTTAGAATCATTTGGAGGTTTGTTAGAGTGCAGGTGCCAAGCTCAAGCCTGGAGTTCTGCTCACTGATATTTGAAGTAAGCACACCTCTGTGGTCGGTGCTTGTTTTTGAGGGAAATGGCGAGATAGCTCAGTACTCTAAAGCACCTTCTTAGGCAAGCTTAGGCAGGTTTAGGGAACCGCAGTTCTATCCCTGCACCACAGGCTGCACTGAGCCAGTCCAGGGAGAGGGAAAGGGAGGGGCAGAGACAGAGAGACAGAATTTGTAAGGCAAAAGTCTCTGTCCTCAAGAATCTTTTTTATTTTTTTATTTTTTTGTCTTTGTTAGACAGGGTCTTGCTATGCAGCTCAGAGTGGCAGTAAGCTCATTTCATAGCCTAGGCTTTTCTCCAACTTCAAGATTCTCCTGCCTCAGCCTCCCTGAGTGCTACCACACCCACCCGGCCATCGTCCTCAAGAATCTTTGTCTGGATTTAGGACATTTAAATAAACAATATAATAATATAAATGAATGCCACTGTGCAGTTCATGGTTATTTAAATTATAATAGTTATTCTAAATTTTTGTTTCATATATACCTAATTTAAAGCAGTATTTTTAAAAATAATTTAATATTTTAGAACTTTAGAAAAAGAGTATTAGTTACTGTCATTAACCAGTTTGGTGGTTTTTTTTGTTTGACTTTTTGATATAGGGTTTCACTATGCAATTCAGGCTGGCCTTGAATTTACTTTATAGCCCAGGCTGGCCTTGAACTCTCAGAGATCCTTGTGTTTCAGCCTCCTGAGTGCTGGAATTATAAGTGTGAGCCCCCATACCCAGCTAACCAATTTTTTTTTGAAACACCCAGCTAACCAATTTTTATTTAAAAAGCAAAAATAAATAAGTTAATTAGGGCTGGTGAGATGGCTCAGTGGTCTAAGGCACCTACTTAGAACAAGCTAAGCTAAGCAAAACACAGGGACCTTGGTTCAATCCCCCAGCACCACATGCCAGCCAGCCCTGCCCCCTGCTGGGCTGAGCTGGCCACACACACACTAAATAAATAAATAATAAATAAATAAATAAATCTTTAAAAAAAAAAAAAAAGTTAATTATTTAAATAGTGGTCAGGGAGATAGCTCAGCACATAAGTGCCTGCCTGGCAAGCGTAAGGTCCCATGTTCGATCCCAGTACCACCAAAAAAACAAAAAACTTTACTCTTGGGTGATTAACCTTATCCATATAATTCTGAGCCATGAACAGTTTATGAGGAATAAGGCTAAGTTTACAGGTATTATTTACATGTTAAATAACTCTCCTAGTTGTATTTTATCACTGATGTTTTTAGAATCTGACTTATGTATGGATTATGTAGCATAGCAGACAGTAACCACATATGGTGATTGAAATTTAAATTAAGCCAGGCGTGGTAGCGCACATCTGTAATCCCAGCACTCGGGAGAGTGAGGCAGGACCTGGGCTACAAAATGAGCTCAACGCCAACCTGAACTGCATAGAGAGACTCTGTTTCAAAAAGACAAAAGAAAAAGAAATTTAAATTAATGTTAAAAATAAATTTTAAATTTAGTTCCTCATTACGTAGCCTCATTTCAAGTGTTTGAAAGCCACATGCAGGTAGCATCTTGGACAGAAGTTGTAGAACATTTCAATCCCTGCAGGACTTTGCTGATTGGGTGATGCCTTAGGATGGTATCTAAGATTCCCACATTCTTCCAAAGTCTAGCAGTTTTTCTGCTTGCTTTCCCTTTAGGTAGATGTTTGATGCCTGGTTTTTTTTTTTTTTTTTTTTTTTTAGTGTTTTCTTCTGATCCTGTCCTCTTTGGTTGCTCCATTCACAGGTCAATCCTTCTGCGAAGGCTCTGTAGTCTGATGGGCACTGTCTTCTTGCTTCGCTGCTTTACCATGTTTGTGACCTCCCTCTCCGTGCCAGGACAGCACCTGCAGTGCACTGGAAAGGTAGCCTGCTGCCTTCTGTACCACCCTCTCTTCCTTTTGCTTCTGTTTAGTTAATAGCACACTATATGCAGTAGGCTAAGATTTTGCCTTTATGTAAAAGTGAGATGTGTTTCGTGGTGTTTGTAATACCTAAAATAAGCCTCTAGAAATAATTCAGTAGTAGTAGTGTTTCTTAAGACAGGCTCTTGTCTCATTTCTAATCACCAGTACACACTCTGGTGTAGAGCTATAGTTTTCCAACTATAGAAAACAATATTTTTTTCAGTAGTTATCTATCCTCCACTATTTTTCCTTCCCACAGTCCTTGGCATCTTTATATCCTCATCTGTTGTGGTCTGGTGTCTGCCTTGCTCTCGTCACCCCTTTTTAAGAATCCCCCACAGGGCTGGCGAGATAGCTCAGTGGACTAAGTGCCTGCTTAGGCAAGTGCAGGAACCAGGGTTTGATCCCTGGCACCATATGCTGTGCTGGCCCTGCCCCCAGGTGCGCTGAGCCAGCCGAGTACAGGTATGGTAGCACACACCTATAATCCTAGCACTGGGGAGGCTGCAAACAGGAGGATCACTAGGAGTCCGAGCCGTGTAGTAAGACCCTGTACCAAATACATTAAAAAAAAAAAGAATCTCCCATAAAGTGTAGCACCCAGAAGGCTGTACCTTTTCTGGGTTATACAAAATAATGATGGATTTTTTTTGTTTTTGTTTTTGTTTTATACTTTGTAGCGTACTATTTTGGTAATCAGTAGATGTGTCTTTTCTGGTTAAACTGATAAAGGAGAAAAATTACGCTGATAGGAACAAAAAAAGTTATGAAGTACTTTTTCAAAAAATGTTTTGAGAGCCAGGCATTGTGGTGCAAACCTGTAATCTCAGCACTTGAGAGGCTGAGGCAGGAGGATCACAGTAAAGTTTGAGGCCAGTGAAGCTACATAGTGAGACCCTGTCTCCAAAACAAATTGTTTTGGGGCAGGGAGATAGCTCAGTAGAATAAGTGCTTGCTTGGCAAGCACAGGATCCTAAATTCAATCCCTGGTGACACACACACACACACACACACACACACACAATTGTTTTGAGACTTTAAAAAAAATCACCTATTCTTGACATATAAGATTGATTGTTGCAGTTGATTAAATGTGACAAAAGAATTTGTGATCCTACTTTTTAAGCCTTCATGTGTTGATTCTCTGTTTCCAAATATTTAAATATATATATTCACACTTGTGTTGTTAATGTTGCTTATAAAACAAAATTAGGTGCTAGCTCCTGTTCTATAGTATAAATAGCTGACATAACTAGAGAAGATTAAGCAGCCAAAGGAGATCAAGAGCTAAAAATGTTACCCTTGAGCTGAAGGGTAATTAACCTCCAGATAGCAGGAACTTGTAGACCAAACAGTAAGAAAAGGGAGCTGGTTATTATGACTTAAGATTTACTACAAAGGAGATACTTAAAAGGCAAAAGCTGTGGGGTTTATTTGGTTGGTTGGTTGGTTGGTTGGTTGTGGGTTTTTTTGTATTTTAGTACAGGGTCTGACTACACAGATTGGACTCAGTGATCCTCCTGTTTTCAGCCTCCTAAGCACTGGGATTATAGGGGTGCGAAACAAGGCCCAGTCTGTCGGGGTCTCAGCTTGCCCCGGGGGTGAGGCAGGCACAGTATGCTGGGGATCGAACCCTCACCCCTGTGTCTTGGCATTTTTTTATTGTTAGCAAAGAAGAAAATATTTTTTTGCTAATTATAAATTATATAATCTTATTGTAAAATTTTAAAAAATCAGATTATGTTAATACTGTTGCTGCAGTTGAAGAGCAAAAGCTTGAGTTGGACTCAGTAGACTTGGCCTGACCAGCTGACCCGAAGTACCAGTCAGGAAACGACAGTGGCAGGGCAGGGAAGGAGCTGGGATCAATGTGGCCATGCTAGGAACCTCAGCTGGCAGCTCAAGCTCTGTCTTTGAGGGGCTGAGAAAAACTTCAGAGTTTAATAGGAAAGGAAGCAAAGGTAAGCATTAGGACTGGCATGGATGGCATCATAGGTAATCCCAGTCAGGGCGTGGTCTGGTTATCAGATTGGTATCTCGGGACTCGTTCTGCAAGGTTCTTGGAGATGCCTCATCCCTAGTAGTCATGAGATGACAGTGTGTTGGTTCCTGGAATGAGGTAATTTCTCCTACTTGGTGGGGGAGGGCTTGACCTCATCATGAGATGCTCTGTAAGGCGCTGCTTTTCTTGGAATCCAAAGTGACTTCATGTTTAGAACAATAACTGGAGACTTTTAAGAACTGGCCATTGTAGCCAGGTGTGGTGGCACATGCCTGGAATCTCATCACTTGGGAGGCTGAAGCAGGAGAATCTCAGAGTTTGAGGCAGCGTGGGCTCCATAGTGAGTTCAAATCCAGCCTGAACTGCATAGTAAGACATTGTCCCCATAAAAGAAAAAGAGGAGGAGGAGGAACTGGGCATAATATAAGTTGACAATTATATTTCTCTCAAAATCATGAAAATAATTTACTCTTGTCATTGTGTCTTCAGTCTTGAAGGGGGTTGAGACAGACTAGGTTAGTGATGATGAGCCTTTAAGAGACCAGCTGCCTAAATTATAGCCAAAACCCACTTATTTACTGCAGAGTGCCAGCACGCAATTAAACCTGAACATCCAGTGTTTGGTTGTTGGGGTAACTTGGCTCTCGTGCCAGGAGAGTTTATGCATGCCGTAGGTTTGCCACCCCTGGGCTGGTTAAATTCAGGGCTAACAAACATGTACTACAGAAACTCCTTCAATGTGTAACATGTCTTTGTGAGAACCTGAACAGGGTTCTAAAACAAAGTTTTAAGATAAGTGGTGGGGCTGGCGAGATGGCTCAGTGGAATAAGTGCTTCCCTGGCAAGTGCACGGGCCTAAGTTCAATCCCTGGTTCCACCAAAAAAAAAAAAAAAAAACAAAAAGAATCTGGATGAAATATTCAACATTAATTATAGGGGCCAGGGAGATGGCTCAGTGGAATAAGCATTTCCCTGGCTAGCGCAAGGGCCTGAGTTCAATCCTTGGTTTCTCAAAAAAAAAAAAAAAAAAAAGATAATAAGTATTACAGGTGAAAAAAAGAAGAATGGACACAGAGATGCCAAGCTCATCCTGCCTTTAGTTACTGGTAGGTGCCCAGCACATAGTTCCCTGTTACAACACCATTTCTTACTTGCTGTTTTTTTTTGTTTTTTGAGACAGACTTGCCGTGTAGTTCAGGTTGGCCTTGAATTCACTGTGTAGCCCAAGGTGGCCTCTAACTTGTGGTGATCCTCCTGCCTCAACCTCCCAAGTGCTAGGATTACAGACATGGGCCACCAGGCCCAGCTACAGCACCATTTCTAAGCAGAATTATATATTCACAGAATGAAAGGATTTTGTGGCAGATGCTATTCTTTATCTTTGTGTGTGTGTGTGTGTGTGTGTGTGTGCGCGCGCGCGTGCGCGCGCCCGCCCGCCCAGCTCAGCCCACCCTGGGGGCAGGGCTGGCGTGGCATGTGGTGCCAGGGATTGAACCGTGGTTCCTGCACATTTGCCTAACTTGTCTAAACAGGTTCTTAAGACTGCTGAGCTATCTCGCTGGTCCTGTTTATCCTTTTTTATTTAATGTTTTTTACTTTGTTGATAAAATATGTAACTATATTCATCTTTTTAACAGTTGCATGATATTCAGTTGTGTGTTTTTTTCAGTCCCCAAATGTTGTACATTTTAGTTGTTTCCAAGTTTTATTATTTAGGGGCTGGCAAGATAGCTCAGTGTTCTAAAGCGCCTGCTTAGGCAGGCATAGGGGACCACATTCAATCCCTGGCACCACATGCCACACCAGGCCTGCCCTCAGGGTGGGCTGAGTGAGCCAAAAAAAAAAGAAAAAATTCAAATTTTATTATTTATAAACAATGCTAGATATGTGTGTTTGTACTTTTTCTTTTTTCTTTCTTTTTTTTTTTTTGGTATTTTTTAGGGAAGGGTCTACAGGGTGTTGGATGTTCAGGGTCTCACTACTAGAGCAGACTCGTAGTGATCCTTCTATTTACAGCCTCCCAAGTGCTGGGATTACAGGCGTGCCACCAGGCCCATTCTCAGTCTGCCTCAGTGTGCCCTGGGGGTGGGGCCGGCCAGGGCGGGGCAGGCAGGCAGGCCTGGGGATCGAACTCCTGGCCCCTGTGTCTGCCTAAGCAGGTATTTTTAATCCACTGAGCTGTTTGGCCAGCCCTTTTTTCTTTTTTTATTAGTATATATTTGTGATACATAATACATTCATTTTTGAGGAGTCTGTGTATATACATAGTGCAACTTAGTCCTTTTTAATTTATGTTCTCTTCTCCCTTTTTCTTTTCCCTCCATCTCTAGATTCCCTTCCCATCTGAAAATTGTGTACCTCCTTGTTGCCTATTATCTTTTATTTTGCTCTTTAAATTATTTATACTTTGGGTTTTTCAAGTAAAAGAAACCATGTAATGTTTCACCTTCTGCGTCTGATTTATTTCACTTAGTATAGGCGCTTCCCTTTTATTGTTTGCAAATGACTCTGATTGATCCTTCTCATGGCTGAGTAGGACTCCATTATATATATATATACCATTTTGTAAAATACGTTCTTCTGTTGGTGGACATATATGTCATTTCCAAAACCTAGCTGTTGTGAATTTGCTGCTGTAAACATAGATATGTGCATATCCCTGTACTCTAGTGCTTCCACTGTCATTTTACTCTAGGGACAGTTTTATTTCTTTGCTGATACCTTCTGGAATCCATTGATTGTTCATTAATATATTGTTTAATCTCAATGTGTTCATGCAGTTTCTTTTTTTCTTTCTTTCTTTTTTTTTTTTGTATGTTTAGTGCAGGGTCTACAAGGTCTCACTACACAGATCAGACTCATGATGATCCTCCTGCTTTCAGCCTCCCAAGTGCTGGGATTACAGGCACATGCCATCATGCGCAGTCTCAATCACCATCTCAGTGTGCCCCAGGGG